ATTAATCATTTCTTCAATTTCTCGATTTGTATTGAATATCTAAGTGTATAGTATTTATTCCATTACATGAACCTTGTTTATGGGAATATTCATTATTAAAGTTTGGATTAAATCTCTTGTTAAACTTATGTATTGAATGATTTTTATTAATTATGGCATGAGTTGAATGTTTCTTTAATTATTCTTGTTCATTAATATTTTCAAAGGGATTAGCTAACCCTAGGACTCACCCATTAACTTTGGTTTAGACTTAGAAAAGGCAAACCCGGGGTTGGGAAAGAATAATTAACAAGAACCTGAGGCGTTAACCCTTATTTTATAGATCTACCTAGGGATAGGATTAAACTACTTGTAGCCACATTCGCGTATCCTTAATCCTCTTAATTATTTTAGGGAAAGTTCAATTAGGAAGTCTTGTTAGTCTTCAGAAGAAGCTAATATAAAATTATTATCCGAGGTTAATTAGCATGAATTCGCTCATATTTGTAAAATCATGAAATACATTGGATCGTTACTTGAGTGTAATTCCATGTGTATCCATCCTCGTAGCCATTGATCATTTTACTTGATTTCTAGGTTAGTATACATTTTCACATTTAGATATAAATATTTTTTCTAAACCCTTTCTAGTATTTGGCTTAGCATAATAAGCGATAATTCTCTTACTTGCCTAATCGCCTACATATTGTTCCTTGTGAAATTTGACCCCGACTCATAGTTGGGTATATTATATTGCATGTGCTCGTGTCCGTTTACTCTTTGAGGAGTGGATTTGGACATCATCAAAATTGGCGCTGTTGCCAGGAAAATAATTTGGCGCATTTAGGTTGTTTGAGAAGTAAGTATACGTGCTTTGGTCCAAACTTGTGAATATTTGCGTAGTTATCTTTCTTATCTTTGTTTATTTTCTTGTGTGTTTTCTTAGTTTTTGAAAATGGCTTCATACGTTAAAAATTGATTGGATGGTTGTTATTCATACTTTGATGGCTCTTGTTCTTATTATGGAAGACCACACTCATGGCAAAATTGTTTAAATTCTCTCGAGGGCGAACAGCGGACACAATCTCAAACCTATGAGTAGAGTATATGTGATAGGTGTGGTGGTCAAAAATGGCCATTTGGGCAATTGTGCTTATATGTCCTTCCCTTCCCCGAACTCCCGCTATGACGATTCTACTTTTGGTTGTGATATTTCTAGGGCTATGAAAGTGGAAGAAAATGAGCATGGGCAAAACGGAGAGTTCAAACTCATGATGAAGTGCCAACCTGATGTGGGAACGAAGAGCAAAAATCCTTGGAGGAGCTTTTGAAAACTATTCTCCAAAATAATTTGGTGCTTAAAAGGTTAAACTCACAAATGAGAGAAATGCTTGAAGCTTTAGAGGTCCAAAAAGCCTCAGAAGTGGATGATAGCCAAGAACCTCCCTTAGAGGTTGAAACCAAAAATCCTTCTTTGGCACTTGATCAAAACCAAGAAGAACTCTCAAATTCTCAAAATGAGAGGATAACTCATGTTGGACGCCATTCTTGAAAATGAGGAGGAGCAAAACTTGGCACTCGTGGAATTGAAACAAGTACTAAATCAAAATGATGAGACTATCCGCACCATGGAAAGTCATATGCAACCATTGGTTGAGGCTCATAATGCGCACCAACTTGAGAGTGTGGAAAGAGATCAAGAAAAGTCCAACTTCGAGGAAGAAAGTGAGCTTCATTTTGAGGAATTAAGAATTTAACATCCACCCACCGACTCCATATTTGTTGGTGATGCCGAAAAATAATTGGAATTGGAGTCAACCAGATACATTGAAAATATGGTGGACATTGACTCTAATAATTATGTTCCGTGATTTTTTAATATTTTGGACATTTCAAGCTCGGGATTAGGCGATTTTTGAGAGGAATTTCGAAGGGATTCTTGATGTGAGTCACTTGTGGTTATTTTTGTTCAATAATTATGTTTCCCCATTGAATTTCCCACCTAGTTGGTGTGTTTTTTAGATATAATTTTGGGAATTGAGGCTAGGGATTTGGAGAGTTGAAATTGGGGATTTGAGTGACGATTTGGTGTCGGATTTTGGTAAATTTGGTATGGCTGGACTCGTGGTTGAATGGGCTTCCGAATTTTATGACTTTTATTGAATTCCGAGATGTGGGACCAAGGTTCGGCTTTTGAGTTGATTTTTTTGACTTTTGACTAAGAACTTAGTATTTTCTTATGGAATTGATTCCTTTAGCTCGTGTTGATTGTATCGAACTGTTTGTGGCTAGATTCGAGGTATTCGGAGGCCGTTTCACGAGGCAAGGGCATGTTGGAGTAGAGATTTACACGGTTTGAGGTAAATAACACTTTTAAATTGGGTTCTGAGGTATGAAAACCCGAATTACGAGTTATGTGATTGGTGTCGAGATGACGCACACGCTAGGTCACGGGCGTGTGGGCGTGCACTATAAGAATTGTAACTTGGTTGATTCCATGGAGCCATATAGTTGATTAATCTTGTCGTTACCCATATTTCCACCATGTGTTAGAGAAATTGAGCTGATGTTATGTTAGAAATCATGCTTAGGCTGTGCGTTGGTATTGTAAGGACCCACAGAGGTTGTGTTACATGTTGAATTATCTGTTAAATTGACATTTTGTACTCAGTCACAAGTTTTTTGCTTGCATATTATATCTCAGTCTCTGTTGTCCTTTATTGATACATTATATCATCATTGTTTGGACTGATTATCGTAAATCTTGTGAGCCGAGAGACTAGAGAAATTGATGACTGCGTGAGACCGATGACCTGATTGTGAGGATATTTATGGGATCGGGCTGCACGCCACAACATGTTTATTGATTCATGCCATGATTGGCTTATATTAGCGCTTGGGCTGGAATTGCCCCTCTAGAGTCTACACATCCACAGTGGGCGCAAGTACATATTGAGTGCGAGTGCCAAGCGATTGAGAGGATTGAGTGGTTGTGAGGATGGAGTGACTGTGAGGAATGAGTGACTGTGAAGTTGGAGTGAATGGGAGGACTGAGTGACTGATACTCTGAGAGTATGCACATGATTTCATTAATGTCTGCCCAATAGTTGGCATATATATATATATATGTCACGTAGTTACTGAGATGTGCAATATCCAGTTTCAATTAAACTTGACATGATTTAACTATTTTGGCTTTAACTGTCGAACTTAAAAGCATGCCTACTTTCCTGAACTGAATTTATGTAATTGAACTGTACCCGTGAAGCTCGTCACTACTTTCAGTCCAATAATTAGTCTTGTTACTTACTAAGTTGGTTGTACTCACACTACACCCTGCACTTTGTGTGTAAATCCAGGTGTTTCGGGATACGGTGGGTGCTGATTATCTGAGCAGCTTAGTGATTCGGAGATCTTCGAGGTAGCTGCCCCGCGTCCGCAGACCTTGACCCCCCTTCCATATCTTTCAGCTTTATGTATTTAGTTTCAGCTTTTCATAGACAGTATTTCAGACTTTTGTTATATAGACGCTTATGTACTCAGTGATACCCTGGTTTTGGGAACTTCCGTATTGAGTTTTGATCTTTTATCCAGTTTATGAGAGCTTTAATTATTTAAACATATTTTAGTTCATTTTTCATTTAAAAGTATTGGAAATATTTTGAGGTGTCGGCTTACCTAGTACCATGTTAGGCGCCATCATGACAGGCTAAGTTTTGGGTCGTGACAGTAATACTCACAGTTTTTATTTAATTAATATGTTATAATGGCTAAAGGCTAAAAATTAGGAGCTCTTACTTAGTTTAATAAGATTTTTTTTAATAATCATAATTTTAGGTATTTTAAATATCCTAAATATTAGGAAAGTAACTTAAATTACAATTGTGTCCAATATAAAATATATTTTTAGAGGGTAAAAAAAGGCGAACGACATTTCAGTAAGAGCCTTCGTGCTTTTAATGTATATATTTCAAATTATTAAAATTATCATATGGACCTGATTTTCAGAATATAAATTTAGTATTTATAAAATTTATAATTACTAATGCATATGCTCACTAGTGCATATGGTATTGTATTATTTTTCGCGTTTGATTATGAATATTAATTAGTTCATAAAATTATGTTGTACTAAAAAGGTGGGAATAATTATCTATATAGATTGTGAGATAACTAATCTCTGCCCATAGAATATTCTTGTCTATCCCATCTTGGTAATCAAACGGCCCTATATGCACTAGTGAAGCATCCTTATCCCGCTCTAGTCCATCATTTGCAGTTCAAAATTAGTGTTGCTTCTCTACGGATTTTTTTTCTATCCTAATAGCTAGGTATAATAATAAATAAATTTGAAACGTTATGATTTTATATTTAATATTTTTTCGGTTATATGGTTTAATTCATATTTCGTTGTTCCATATTATGTTGCGCGGACTTTTTAATATGTTACAATATCCATGTCAGATCCTCCAAAAATACATTATTTTTAAAAAATTCGGTACGCGATGACCATATTTTTGAAGAGTTAAGATCAACATATAGGTTCCATAGCATATTTATTTGAGGTACACATTGGATAAAGGTAAGCTGTTTGACTTTTCTACATCCAACTAACAATTTCTTCCGAGTCTTTCATTACAAATGTTATATTTCAGACCACCATCAATTTCTCCAACAATTAATACAACTTTTTCTTTTTCATAATAGTTACAGGTAGGTTCATCACACTAATAAAGCAAGTATGAAAACACATAATGATCTACTTTAAAATTTTATACTTATCTAAATGGTTCCTATTTCTATTACTAGCAACAAATAATATTTTCAATACCGAAGGATACTCTTTCCATTTTTGATGATTTAAGGAAGCATCTTTACATGTGAATAATGATAATGAAGTCATAACCTAAAGTATAAGTGCGTAGTCCGAAAAGACTGCCATTGCAATATTTTCTATTAGTCGCTATTGCCAGGACAGTTGGGTCAATGCTTGCTCCGAGAATAATGCGACAAAAATGGTAACAAGTTGTCTAAATTAGAAAATAAAGAAAGCAACCTGCCATTTTTTTTCCCTACACATTAATAGTGAACACGTTGACCATAAGATGGGGGAGAGTGAGATCCCATTGCTGTCATCAATGTTTTGAAATCCACGGTATGAGTATTCTGATATTATCCATTTAGGCGGAATACAAGTGGATCAACTAAATATATGCATAAATAGCAGTACATTAGTTTCTTATTTTGTATAGGAAGTGTAAAGCTATGGCTGGTGGAGGATTTGGTGATGACAAAGGAGGAGCAAGAGCTCATCTTTATGAGTATAGGATTACTGGGTATTTCGTTTTTGCTTGTGTTGTTGCAGCCATGGGAGGATCCCTTTTTGGGTATGATCTTGGTGTTTCTGGTGAGTATATTTTCTTCTTAAACACCCTATTTTTCTCATCTCAAATACTTTCAGCTTATGTTTTTACAAGTGCTTGGTTTGGAAGATCTACCTTGGGTTATTCAAGCCACTTGTGCCATTGTTCTCTTCCAATCATTATTGTCATCAACGCCAGTTTCCTGTTTTCTTTGTGTTTTTTGTGCTTTCCCCCTTTCCCTTGAACAGTGAAGAAGAATTGGTTGTTGACCAACGGAAAGTATGGGGAAAAAATATACATAAACAAAAATGGGTTAAAAAGAAGGACAAAGTAATTTTTTCGTATAATAATATGAGGTAGGCTAAAACTCTACCTCAATCAACCGACTCAAGTGAACAGAAGGTCTAAAATCTACTAATGTTCACTCTCGGAGGATTGCAAAGGATGTCCATCAAATTCAAAATTAACACTCACTCTGTTTCAATTTATGTGCACTTATTTCCTTTTTAAGAACGACTTGTTTCGTTATTTAGAAACAATTTATCTTGCAATAATTTATAGCCACACAAAATATACGTGCATCACTCTAATCCACAAGTTTAAAAGTCTTAAACTCCGTGCCCAATCAAATAGGTTCACATAAATTGAAACGAAGAGAGTATATATAATATTGAGATGTAAAAGAAAATTTATTCTGCCGGGCAGTGCCTTTTGACGTTGGTAGAAAACACGGCAGCAATTTCCTTTTGTTTTTAATTCCGAATGACTATTAGTACGGTAATTAATCTTAGATACTTTCTTGTCGACTCTTTCACTCCTTTTGGTTGGGGATAATAAGGACAATGAATCTGGTCAAAATCTTAAAGAGCACAATGATTTAGTTGATAGCCACATATTGCATCAGAGATTAAGACATTTGTAAATTCTACATCCTCCTTTTAAAATGTTTGAGGATGCCAATTAGTTAACATAGTAAATTGATTTATGTGGTACCGTTCATCCTTTGTGTCAGTTAGGTATTAGGAATCAATATGCAAAAAAGGGGTCAGATATGCATTGAAAACAGGTTAATCATTTAACTTCCTTATCACATTTAGCCCTAGAATAGTCTTGTGAATATTACATTGTTGAACTTGAAGAAAAAAATAGTAAAAAGATAAAATCAAATTCTGACCAACAATGGTAGTAAAGAGAGAAGTTTTTGTTGGTTTCAGGCGGGGTGACTTCCATGGATGATTTCTTGAAAGAGTTCTTCCCAAAAGTGTACAGAAGGAAGCATGCACGTCTCCAAGAAACTGACTACTGTAAATATGACAATCAGATACTCACACTCTTTACTTCCTCTTTGTACTTTGCTGCACTTGTTTCCACATTTGGTGCTTCATATGTTACCCGCAACAAAGGCCGTCGAGCCAGTATACTCTGTGGAGCAGTCAGTTTCTTTCTTGGTGCAATACTGAATGCATTTGCAAAGAACATTGCAATGCTGATCATTGGTCGATGTCTTCTTGGAGTTGGCATTGGATTTGGCAACCAGGTAACTGAATACAGCCAATTCTATTTGTTAAAAACAAACATACCGACTCACTAACATATTAAGTTGTCTTCTTTCCAGGCAGTTCCTCTGTATCTCTCAGAAATGGCACCTGCAAAAGTCCGAGGAGCAGTCAACCAACTCTTTCAACTGACAACTTGTTTGGGGATATTGATAGCCAACTTTATCAACTATGCAACCGACAAAATCCATCCATGGGGATGGAGATTATCGCTTGGCTTAGCCACAGTTCCTGCTGCAATAATGTTCATTGGTGGGCTTTTCCTTCCCGAGACCCCAAACAGTCTCGTAGAACAGGGTAGATTAGAGGAAGCAAGACAAGTCTTGGAGAAAGTTAGAGGTACCACAAAAGTTGATGCAGAGTTTGCTGATCTTAAAGATGCAAGTGATGCTGCCAGAGCCATAAAACATCCATTCAGGAACCTCCTCAAGAGGAAGAACCGTCCTCAATTGGTAATAGGAGCACTCGGAATCCCAGCATTCCAACAGCTCACTGGCATGAACTCCATTCTTTTCTATGCCCCTGTCATCTTTCAGAGCTTAGGCTTTGGCTCAGGAGCATCATTGTATTCATCTGCTATCACCAGTGGTGCACTTGTTCTAGCTACATTCATTTCCATGGCTTTTGTTGACAAGTTTGGAAGAAGAGCTTTCTTTCTTGAAGCTGGAGCTGAAATGATCTGTGTCTTGGTAATTTCTGCTTTTAAATGAGATTTCTTTTCGAAAAGCGAAATAAAAGTTTGCTTTACAGCAACTGACAATTTGTTCCACAGGTAGCAGTTGCTGTTACTCTAGCTTTGAAGTTCGGAGAAGGTGAAGCGCTCCCAAAAGGAATTGGTGTCTTCCTTGTAGTCATAATCTGCATATTTGTTGTGGCTTATGGTAGGTCTTGGGGTCCCTTAGGTTGGCTGGTTCCAAGTGAACTCTTTCCCCTGGAAACACGGTCAGCAGGACAGAGTGTGGTGGTCTGTGTCAATATGATCTTCACAGCCCTCATTGCGCAGTGTTTCCTTGTGTCCCTCTGTCACCTCAAATATGGAATCTTTCTGTTGTTCGCGGGTTTGATATTCATCATGAGCTGCTTCATCTTCTTCCTCTTGCCCGAGACAAAGCAGGTTCCGATAGAGGAAATATATTTGCTTTGGCAAAATCATTGGTTCTGGAAAAGCTACTGCACCCCGGGGGAGAATGAACATGATTTGGACGGGAAGCCTGGATCACAGATCTAAGACTACTCCAGAAAATGGAGATTAGTTTTCTGATTGATTTGTTCCATAAGCAAATGGAGAAGACATTCTCAATGAAAATACCACACCTACAACTAGAGTATGCATTATGGATCCCTTTACGAACGAAGACTATATGAAGATTTGCCCATATTTTTCAATTGCAGTCTCCAAATATCGTTTATTATCATGTTTAACTTCTTAATCATCTAAATTGTCGCTTCACCATTTAATTAACCTTACACGTGGGTTTACAAGATATCAAACGGCAGAAATATTTAAAGTGAACAAAAGGGGAAAAAAAAATAAAGGCAAGAAGTCCACTGACGTATACAAGAAAATTACAGAATACATACCGTAACAATTGACATTATAGAAAAGAATTATTTGACTTGATCCTTGATTCATCAAGCTAAGCTAGTAATTTCGCAAGCTCATCTACTCCTAAGCTTCCTTTTGGTACTACATTTAGATAATCTTCTCTAATACCCTTCATCTTCTCCTTTCTAGTACTCTTTGTTGAATTGACTTTACTACCTGAAACAGCAGTTTCTCTTCTACCTGAAACAACAGTTTCTTTTCTCGACGAAGTTGGTGAGTTTTTGGTGCCTTGTACCTCCAAATCACCAGTTTCTTCTCCCTCAGGTCTCTGAACTGGCACTTTCTTAGACCGATGCTGAAAAACTGGTCCAGGTGGGACAGACCTGAAGAGAGTAACTGCCCTTTCGTACACAATGTCAGCATCCAAACTAGAATCATCTAATAGGACTGCACTCCCACTTTCAATAGCCTGCTTCCAAAGTAGTAAAATTCCATCCGTCCAGGGTGCACTTGAGCTTACCAGCTGATAGCACTGGTTTGTATCTTCGGATACAGAATGCACCTTGTAACCAGTCAACGGAACCAAAGATGAGGAATCAGATTTGTTTACATCATCTGAAGCACTCCTCAACACATTTTCTGGCACCACAACTGAATCATCCAACCTTGTTTTGCACTCACTAAGAATTCTAGAATTGTCACCTGTATCATCTCCTGCATAAACCAGAGGGCTTTCACTTCCACTGATCTCCTCCGTAGTTGTAACAGCACTAACATCTAAAGGAACCTTATTGGACGATTCCAAATAGTTACCCTCTGATCCATCTTCCTGTGTAACATTGCTTCTTACATATTCTGCATCTTCCTCAACCAGAGGAGAAACGCTAGCACTGAGATTGCAAGGATTCATTCCTGTAATTAGTAAGCTTGGACTTCCTGATGTAGATTCAACCAGTTGGCCTTCAAAGGATCGGTAAGTGCTGGCAGCATTATCAGCTTTAGAACCCTTCCTTCTCTGAGGTTTCTCTTTGTCGTCAGGTAGAGAGGATACCCAATCCCGTCCTCTCCACATGAGTATGTGCTCTTGCTCAAAAGAGATTAACACACATGGGACAAGATCCTACAGTTTAGAAAGATAAGCAACTTAAGCAACTTACAGCAATGAGGTGATTAATTTCTTGCACTTCTATCTTTTTCCAAAAATAAATTTGTGTCCTGTAGCCACCTCACAGCGTACTATAGCATTTACTAGTACCGGAAATAGTTTTACCTTAAGCTTGGCGCCTATCTTCCTATAGTCACTTGGGTTCATTCCTTGACAATTTATACGCACCAATTCACAAGCTTCAAATGCTTCTCTGATATTCTTTGCAAGATCACAATACACCCCATTTTTCCCTGCAAAAACATTCAAGACTTACTATCAGAGAGATGTTTTGGTCAGAATCAATCAAGAGTAGCAAAAATTAAAGCAACACGGACCAAGCTTGCAGATAGGTATCAGATTGCGTCCTTTTTTGCGCATTTCAGTAGCTTCCTCTAAAGTCAAACCCTCAGGAACTCGTCGGACCAACCTTGGGTATACAGGAGTCACAGGCCGCCATAACATAAGAGGAAAGTGTGGCCGAGTCTTGTAGTTGTAGTTTCGACCACGGAAAAGGTATATCAAACCACCTTTATGATAGATAATTTTCCCACCTGTCTTTTCCTGTACATATAGGATATCAAAAAAGAAACCATGTCAAATAACTGCCTGAGACGTCTGTCAGAAAAACAACAGCTTCAACTTGAGAGAAACGACAAAAATGATTAACTTTAAATCCCATCCCATAATCAAGCTATATGAAGATTGTATAGTCGAAAGTGCTAGTTAGCCTTCAATGTGAGACATGGTCAGGATGGCAGGTGTATTATCTGGTCAGGAGGACTTCTTCATTGTAATCTGTAAGTTCATTACAACAAAAATTACACCGCAAGGGATCAGTTTCACTGACCATGTTTCTCCATTTAAATTCACAAATGTTATAGTAACAAGTACTAAAAGTTCTCTATATTTTCTATTGGCATAAAAATCTCAAATAGATCTAAAGAGATCCTAGAAAGCATAAAACCCAAAGAAAATGTACTAACATGACTATAACATATTCCCAACAAATTGGTAACACCTATAGAGATCATTTCCTTCCATTATACCCTATCGTTCCCTAGATTCCAAGAATTGTAGGTCTTTGAGAAAACTTCCTTCCATGTGATTTTAGGTCTCCTTATCCTTTTAACACCTTTCGTCACTATGGCTTCACACCTACTGATTGGTGCATCTGGAGATCGATACAGGACATGACCAAACCATCTTAACATCCACATCTCCACAATACTCATCTTGTGAATGTGTTGGAATTATTCATTCTTTACGGGAAAAAACCCGACATATCGGATTCTGCGCCACAAGCTTCAACATGACAGGTTAATTACCAATGCTTGGAATAAAGTAATTTACAATGAGCTTAATTTTGCAAAGACCTATGTTTACAAGAGAGCGACAATATTCCAAAGAAACAAAACAGTAAAAACAACTTGCAAGGGGAAAAATATTAACACCATCGACCTCTAACTTGTCACAGACATTGTCCATGTCCACAGTACACACTCCCTTGCATTTTATTTTGCACACCCTTTTCCGCTTCCAGTGAGCATGGATATTCTCCAACATGTTATGTGTTAAGCCATCTCGTCCTGGTAACAAGAAAGGTACGGAGAGTCAATGAGAGAGCAAAAGTCAGAGTCAGCATATTCTTTTTGTCACGAATCGAGAAGATCGAATACAAAATAAGCATTTTACGAGCTTTTCAAAGATCATATATACCTTAAGGTAACTCCAACTACCAACACTAGTGAAATGAAATTAACAAAAGAGAAAACCTTTGGTCACAAGAAGCTTTTACAATGAGAATGAGCTATTCACATTGAACCCTGATAAGATATTCCAAAATAAGAGAACTTGAGCCTTGAACACACAAGAAAATATGAAATCAACCTGATTATAGAGTGTGTGTGTGTGTATCAGAACACATCCCCCTCCCTTAGATAAAAGGAAAAAAAATCCTCATCTCCTCTCTTTCTCCTCAAACGATCAAACCCATAGATTCAAGCAAACAGGAAAAATAAGAAAATGAATTAGGTATTTATATGAGTAAAACATCAATTAGGCTTTATAGAACTAAGAGAATTTGCATATCCTTGGCATTGATCAAGGAGACTGCAAAAATAATAAGGAGATGTGCTCCTAGTGATTGCATGTTTCCATAATAAGATGTCAAACCACTTAGTTAAAAGAAAAAAATTACCATTTGTATATGTGCCAATGTATCCATTCTGCTCTATTTAGTATCAGAATGAAATGGACGACAGAACTAATGTAGATGATTCATACAACTGACTCCAAAAAATACGGGATTAAAGCACAATTGATTCATTAACTGATACTATATATGCCAAATGGTCTAAGTTGCAAAACATTTAACTAGCCCTTCTTCACGGTCCAAAAACTTCTATTTCTCCTCCTTTTTGCCTTAGAGAATTCACATTATACAACAAATTCACAGCAAAACACAATCTCCCAAGTCTACCACACAATGCAGTTCACCCTGATCAACAATAATAATAATGATATGAGTTTAAGTCATGTACAATAGAAATTTTACACTATCAAGTCACCTTTACCTATTGTGGCAGGTAAACTGCCATATTTTCAAGATTAAAAATCCCACTTTTTATGCGGACTTACTTGCGTATACAAAATTATTACATTGGCAATACATATAACTTAAACTCTACTGATATACCTATATTCAATTGCCGTGTTGTTTTCTTACAACTATCTATAAGCTGCATCATTTCTTCCTTGGTCAATGGCTCTCCCAATACCTCCTCTCTAGACCTAACATACTTGGGCCCGGACCCTTCCAGGAATGGTCCAGGAGCCTGAACCGGCTTTACCCCTTTTTTATGGGGCGGTGGCAGCTTAAACGAATCAAATTCTGGAAGGTTCTTCTTGCTCGGAGGCAATGGTTTCCGACCGGTCCATGGCCTCCGCATTGACTCAGGCCCAAATGGTGACACTAAGGGTTCACGCAACTTATTAGGCTTCAACTTTGGTGTTTCAGTATAACTGTACTGATACACGAAAGGAGCTTCTGGGAATTCATAACAAACACCATTTTCATCAACTTTAATATCAATAGCTGATTTTTCTGTTGTTTCCCCAGAATCTTTTGGAATGTTCCGGGGTCTAACAAAAGGTTTAAATGCGGGGTGTGTATTCTTCTGGAAGTTCCTGGAATATTTTGATTTTTTTCCGGGGATGGAAGGTGAAGAGGGAGATGAAGGAGTGCCAATGGATTTGAAGGTTTTTTTTTCGGTGATGGGGGTTGGAGGGGCAGGGTTGTAATTATTGGCAATGTTGAGAGCCGAATCGAAGCGTTTATGGAAGCGGATTTCGTCTTCGATTTCCTTCTGAGTTCGTTCATGGCGGATGAATTTCTCGGCATTGGCGTTGTTCCAACGGGAGAAGCGGACTTCAGTGGCTGGCCGGTGGTTGTGTGGTGGAGCAGGTGGTGAGAAAATTGGGAATTGGATTAGGGTTCTTGAACCCATTTCACTCTTTTTTGCTAGAAGAAGATGGAAGCACTGGAACTTGCTCGCAGCTGAAGGAAAAAGTTAAAATTAATTAACTTTCCTACCATTTTAATATCAACTAAAATTTTGATTATTAAATATTTTCTTATTAAATTAGTTAAAAAGTCATAATATTTAAAACTTTATAGTATACGTGTTAAGGGGCCCGTTAGGTATAGAGGGAAAGGGAACCGG